TGTGATGGTATTTATATGTTTGGGTGTGCGGGCTTGTGTGTGAATGTAGTTTCAAATGCCAGGGTAGGCTAGGGTATACGCGTATAGGGTCTGTGGGATCGGTTATCCCTTATGGATGTGGTTGTAGGATATGTGTTGTTCAGTGGATATGTTTGGTTATTCCTCTCACCCAACTCCTTCATATACATACCCATCGCACATCCACTAACTCTTATAGTAAACACTCCACAAAAATTTATATATGATTTTCTGTACTAGATTCGGAATGAAGTTCCTTGCATGAATATGAATTTTTTGCTTGGTAGCATTCACGCAAAATGTGCTTACCTGCTTGAATTTTTTACTATTGATAAACACAATCGTCCTTAAAATTCTTCGTAGTTGATACACATCCATTTAAAATAATAAAAGATAAAAAGAGGTAGATAAGAAAAGTAACCGGTTACTATTTGGCAAAACTGATAAACGAATCATTCGACAAGTAAAAGAAACAGTGCTATATGCATTATATAACTTAAATCGACTACATTCTGTGACAATAAAATTTACTATTATTTTGTTAAAATTATTGAACTGTGGTAAGTTATTTATTAGCACATTGTGAAAAGTAAAATTAAGCATTTTAAAAGTGACATATGCAGCGCCAATATCATATGAATATTGGGAAAGATCGAAATCGATTTAAAACTGAAGATCTTGACTAATGTTGCTTGAGTTGTTCAATTTGTCTATGAATATCACTTAGCAATTCGATTAATTCTCATTTCCACATCTTTACTTTTTCTTCTATGTCATTCATGGCCTATAGTTATTCGATAAAGATGGGAGTGAATGCGAATGGTTCCGAATGAGAGTGGAGTGTCGGCGTAGTGTGGTTTTAGATGAAGGTACTGGTTTGGGTGCAAATGTCCATCATCTGCTAACCGACAGTCACATTCACACCCACCATCCCGCACCCACATGCAAATGCACACCGACATCCACACAGGCACATCAACGACCGCACACACAAACCCACATCCATACGACACCAACACTAACACTCACATCTACACGTCAGATCCAGACCTACACCCACACCCTACTTTCAAGATTTGCTACACTCCAATAGTGACGTACTAGAGTATTGTTCTGGTTGTTGTACTATGATTTTTAATTCAAGTATATGATAATAGATTACACAAAAAAAAAGATAGATTAAGCTGTGTTTTTTTTATGAAAAAATAAAACGATCTGTTACGGATCATTTCTTGTTTTTTGATAACATTTGCTTTTCGACTATTGTAAACCAGTCGAAGTCAACGATGGAATTTCAGCTATGTCCGGTAGGGTGTCGTCTATATGAAAAAAAGAATTGCTGTTTTTAACCAGACATGATTTATTCATAAAAAAATTCTTTAGACACTGTTTTCATCGACCAAATACATCGTATACCTGTTCACGATCAACGAACAACAACTAAACTATGGAGCTTCATAGAGAGTATAACAGAAAACAAAACTCATGAGCATGTAGAATAAAGACTGAATGGAAATAGGATTATAAGTTAGAAGCTCTTTATGCACGTAGAAGTACTAAATATGAATCATTAAATTCTCAACAAGTTCATCACTATCTTGCTGAACAATATTTTAATAGAAAACTTAATCAAAAAAAAAATTTTAATCATCAGGAACAAAAGAGTGCATTTCGAGAAAATCATCACATCATCGATGTGTATTTCAACTAAGTCTAATTAAAAAAGAATCATTTTTCTCATCGATGAGTCACTATAGTTTAAACAATGAGAGAAGTAACCAGTGTTTAAAAAAGAAGGAAACCGGTAGTCCACTGGTGACATAAAATTAGAATACGATGTCTTAATATTACTAAATAAGATTGCAACTGACAAAAGAAACTTTAATTTGTTTTCAAAAATTTTGAACGTCCTACTGATATAGTACGCATTAGTCAAATCTAGTGGTGGTGTTCAGTGGTCAAAACATCCACTACACTAACTATCGTTTTTCTGATCGAACATGATATCGTTTTTTTCGTACAAGCTGTTTCGTCATTGATTGACCTGATATTTTGAATAGGGGATAGAACAGTTGAGTTTGGCGATACTGATAGAGATCTCAATCTATTTTGTTCATCATAACCAGACATTGAATTCAAAACATTATCGTTTGTAGTTGTTTGGTAAAAATTGTTCATATTGCCTAAATTGATTAGAAACGTCAGATAAGTAAAAATTACCTAAAAGATGAACATACCCATAGAACATGACGAAATCTCTTCATAGTATGTTGAATTCAGATCGAAATGTAAATGATTTCTATCTTGATCTTCTGGATCATTCTCGAGAAATCCATATTTCAGATCTTCTTTATCGTGTTTATCATAGATTTCATGTAGACATTCACTGGCTGATGTTGGATCACGATGAGTCATCAACATTTGTTCTTCATCGAGTTTATAATCGTTCGAAGTCTCATTCAATTCATCATCAGATCGATTCGGAAAGCTTTGAGAAACATATTGTTGTCGAAGATGCTTCTCGATACTTTCTTGTCTCTTGCGTATATATTCCGCATGTATTGTACTTTTGCGATTGATTTCTTCTATACGTGATCGACGTTGTTCACTTTGCAAATATTTACCACTATTCATTTCATTAATGGCATTATTGATAAACAAAAGAGCTTCGTTCAATGCTTGAATTTTTTCTATCGATGCATGACATGCATCACTGATTTCATCAAAACTTAGATTTGACATTTCAGCAATTTGTCGTTCCGTCATACGATCAATACGTGTCGCGAGAGGAATTCGATTAGGATTTTCTGAATGTCGTTCTACACAAAATCGATCAAAATTATGAATTTTCATTACAACATTCGTATTGAAACTAGATCGAATTTCTTCTAAAAGTCGACCACAACTTGCTGCATAGAGTTCTTTAATTATTCGTCGTGCATTTTCATGATGATTACATGTATATGGATCTCGTTTACTTGTCAAAAATGATTCTGAACCATAGATTTGTTCGAGAAGTTTATGTGGTGGAATTACATTAAAAACATCAGCTAAAGTAGCTGCTGTATATGTATTGTTTGATGTATTTTTTACGAAAATACCATCGATTGGTTGATTGAATGATTTATGTTCAATCGCTCGTGGAATCGAAAACATTAATTGTGACATACGTTTCAAAATATCATAATGTGCATAGGCACTAGCCGATTGACGATAATCACGAATAAGACGAATAGCATCATGAATCATTGTACGTACAACGATATGATATTCAAGATCGACTGCATTAAGAAATATATAGTGATCGCGTAACATTGGATATTTCTGATCGCTAAGAAGATATCGTTTAACATGAATTCTAAACATGTTCAATATATAGGAATACATTTGTGTTAGCCAACAAATACCCATAAGAGAAGTTTCACGTAAGAGCGTACGAAGAATATCTCGAACAGCTTTTTCCAAATCATCAAAATCTGTTGTTCCCGAAGTTAAAAGTGAAGCAGCTGATTCAATCCAATCTCGAGTTGGTTCTCGTGGTTTAAAATTTAGAATCATATATGAAAAGAGATTGTGAAGTCGCGCAAAATGACGACAACCAACATAACGTGCATTGATCAGTTCACATTCGTCGGGATGTAACCGTTTCAAATCGTTTACACTTAAATATGCTCGCCAAATGATTGTTTTCTTGCGAGGCCATTCATTATAGGAATTTTCAATTTCCTCATATGTCTTACCACATTGTTCAAGTGTAAAAATAAAGTCGACTTCCGACCGGTAGCTTGCATATTGACAAAGAATCTTGTGGAAATCACGAATATAATTTTTATAGGTATCTCGAAGAGCTCGAGGATCGAGTAGTTTGTATCGTTCTTGTTCCTCGTCGTATTGATATTGAGCTTTGTCAAGTTCATCTTGAATTTTCTCTCTTAATTTCGGTAGTGCAGAACGAAATGACTACGTAGAAAAAATTTTGAATTTCACAAAAACGTCCAAGTAGAAATGTTTAAAATAAAAATTGCGCGACTTACTTTGAGCCAGAGTGATTGAATTTGATTTCGTACAGCGTCGATGCCAATAATTTTTCGATATTTTTCATCGAAACGTTGATAATCATCCGCTGATTCACCACTCTTTTGATTCATTTTCTGAATCCATCTGTCTATTTCTTGTTGTTCTCGACGTGGTAAATCCCTAAGATAGGCAACATTATCATCAAACGATCGTTCTACCATTAAATATCCGTCAAAAATCATATTAGTGAAGAAAGAAGGACCAAAATCTTGCAATTGTTTTGACATTTCATTATTGGCTGCAGTTCCATTAGTAAAATTCAACATAAACGAGTCAAATTTCGTATGAATAGTGATCATATTCTCCTGGTAATTGGGTCGTGCCGATAAAGAGGAATCAGAACTTATTTGTTTCTTACAGAGTTCATCAATGACACGTGCTCCATGACTATTATCAGTAATTTGTGTTGTCTCTTTCAATAGAACAATTGAGAATCGAGGATTACGTACAAAAGCTTCAGCTATTTTCTCTACTGCTTTTCGGTTTTCAGCCACTTTATCACCACCAACTAGACCGGGCAGATCAAGAATTTCAAAATCCGTATATTCAGCACTTTCAATTTCGATCCATTCGGGTTCTAATCGAAAGCCACCTGTTGCGGAACATTCTTCTTGAATATGTTTCATTAATTTTTCTAAATAATTTGCTAGTTGAGGGGGAGTAATACCTCTTGGTTGAATAATACGAAGTTCACCAATTGGTAACGTTGGATTGTAGACAAGTCGATAAGCTACTGGACAACGTGTTGCAACTCCTGTCTGAGAGAATGAACAAGGAAATCGAAGAAAATTTTGTACGAGCATTGATTTTCCAGTTGATGTTTCACCGACAAGAACCAATTGAGGTACTTCGAGTTTGTCTTCGACATTGTATTTCTTAGCAATCGCTCGAAGTTGTGTATAAGCTTCGAATACAGTTCGATCAATAACAGGTTTACCAGTGGTAGAAGATGCCATTTTTTAATGAAGTTTTTTATTGAGGTTCTTCTAAATGAAATAAAAATTACAGAGAAAAGTATATCGCTTTTATAGAACTGCAATACAAAACACATACTCTGTCTACAAGGCTTACTCATACCTTTGTTGTTTGCCTTGAAGATAAAATATATTAACATCATCATTATCAGAGAAGATGATACGTTCGTAAATAATCGGAAAGAATCAAGAAAAAATGTTGTATTCAGCTTATCTTTTTCTTTTTGCACATTTTTATTGTTACACTCTGGAGTACTTACATGAAAAGGACAACGGAAAGAGACGAAAATAGAAAGGAGAAAGTGGAAGACGACTAATAAGACAGAAACAAAAAGACAAAAGCCAAAGGACAAGACAAAAGGACAACGGCTAGGATGACATGAAGGACAAAAAGAACAAGAACGAAAAAGACAGAAAACAACAAAGAACAAAGGACACGGAGAATATTGATGTGGGTAGGTGTGAGTCTGAGAGAAGGCACTGTCAACACTCACACTCACACCCTTGTAGAACTTGAAAAGTTCTATCAAATGGCATATAAAAAGAATAGGATCAAACTTACTTTTAAGAATAATCAAGCATACAATAATAATTCATATGTAGTATATGTGAAATATAGTATCATTGTATTGGGAATAGAGAATCTGTATTTGATCTGACAACAATGAAAATATGTTCCTACATGAATGATTGTACCAGAAAAATGTAGCTTAACGAAAGATCTATCGAGAAAACTTAGAATTACTACTTATTTTCAATATTCTATCCCTGAATAGCTCACTATGCAATTAGAGAATGTTATTGGTTAACTGATGGTTGATGAATGTTTGACGGTCTGATCAATAATAGACCCTGATATGACTTAGAACCCTCTGAAAACACATTGAATTTAGCATCAAAATAATCAAGAGACTATAATCCATGGATTTATGTATGATTTGATTGGTTTTCTTGATGAAAATCAAAAGGAGCCAATTTGTGGTCTTATATGGTCTCATCCTTTTTCTGATCGACGATCGTTTCTACTAGTTCTTCGTCAAACAGATAAACAAAAAAGTTCATAGGAGTGTCACTTTTCAATTTTTGTGAAACTACCAGTGTGTAATCAATGCCAGTAGAACTAAACTCCAGTTTCTTTAAACGAAAACTTCTGGTTGTTCAATTTTCATCATAAAATGGAGAATAGGCTGGTTGCGAAAAATCTTTATCAGAAACATCATCTAAATCATTGTAATCAATTGAATCCGTTTCAACTTCAGAATCTGATTTAGACTTCAACGAAATTTTATTGACTTCTGCCTGCGAAACTCGAAATCTTGATATTATCATATAAACAAAATAAAAATGTTGAGATGCGATTTCCTTATGATCGAGATGCACCATAGGGTTCTCTTTGTCACGCAGGGACATTATCAATACTACTTGTCATTTGAGAATAACAATCCTATGGTGTTCCTTAACCGTAAGAGTGAATCGATCTGTTGCAATCTGATTGGCTGAAACAAACAACCAATCAGATTGTTACAACTTGCTCTAGAAATCAATCGAAATCACTTGAAATGCGTTTGTTCCTTCCTTGGTAGTGGTAAAGAAAATCGAGTTTCATGAAACAAAATTTATCTTTACCTGACATAAACTCTTTCTTAATAGGTTTCAGTTTTTAAGATTATGCCTATTACTAAGCAGATCAGTGCTGCAGTGTCAAGTTGTGACTTCAATATCTCTTCAACTCATTCATTTTTTTTAAAATTCTGTTCTAGATAGGACTTATAATTGACGGGATGAACGTCCGTGTATCGGAAAAAGCCATTGTGACGAATCCGTCACTACTGGATGACATCGTTCTACATGAGAATGATCTCACCGAGGAAGCAAAGAGTCAGTTTCCTTTTCATACTGAGATTTTACATGCATTTCAAATCAATCGTCGAGCCATTCTTGAAAACAATCTGTTGACAGACGTTGGCCGACATCTGCAGTTAACAGACATCGATCAATTGTTTTCAGAATCTAAACAGTTTTTAAACTATATAGCAGCAAACAGCGAACTGCTACATGATGATTTGCCTAATATCGGCCCATTGATAATTTGTGGTCTACCAAGATCAGGTACAACGTTACTCTACAATCTGCTGGCTTGTGATCCGGACAGTCGTGCTCCGCTGCTAACGGGCATGTGTTGCGCAGCTTTTCCACCAATACCTCGGTCAAATATAGTTGAACATCAACGGCGAGGAAATATTGTAAGAACAGTTTTCCAGCTGGACGACCGATTTACGAATCGTAAGAGCTTATTGGCTGAGTCTCATGCTGTTTTTCCAATTGAAGAAGATAGGAATATATTGCAACAAGTCGGCCTCATTCCTCGATTGGTATTCATGAGCACTTCGAATCAAATTGAAATAGATAAGTGGGTCTATGATAACACGAATAAATCCTATGCTTATGAATATCATGAAATGTTCTTGCGTATGTTGAATTCAGTCGATCCTCCGAAGTCACATTGGTTATTAAAATCGCCTTTCCATTCAGTTTATCTTGATACAATATTTGCTCGGTATCCAAATGCAGCACTAGTCATGTGTCATCGACGGCTTGACGAAGTTTTACCATCATTCTTTCAACTCATACGCACCACTGCTGGCTCCAGTTTTAATGAGACTGACGCTCGAGTTTCAACTGTGCTGAAAACGTGAATAATTCGACACCTGGATAAATTGACTAGACATATTCTAGAGTTTCGGCAACGATCACGTCACTTACAAAATACATCGCACATACCAATATTTGATATTGCTTATACTGATTTGATGAAACAAACGATCACTACTGTACGTCGTATCTATGATCATTTTGGACTTCGTTGGTCAAAAGAATTCGAAATGGCCATGAACACTTGGTTAACTGGTAATCCCCAAGGCAAACAAGGCCGTCACGTCTATAGTTTAGCTGAACTCGATCTCACCCCTGAGGACGTCGAGAAACATTATTCTGATTATATAAGCTCGTTTCAAAATCTCCTCATAACTTCCGATAACGCTCATCAAGCGCCTTGATATCGAACTTGTTTTTCTTATTTGCTTGCTATGTTATTTTAATCAATTACATTGATTCATTAAGGGAGTCGCGACTATCTTGAGAGGTGGGTGTGGGTGTGCATATGTAGGTGAGAATTAAAAGAAAAACCACATTCACACCCATATCCTTATCCAATTCATTTTTACGAAAAAATATCTTATATTTTGCAGTTAGCGGAATCCGAACAAATAATTCTTGTTCAGAATCACTTCGAGTTTCTGATGGAATTTTCAATAAAGACGTTCATGTTTGCTTTTTTTTATATTCAGCTAACCTATTTCTCTAAAAATTTCAGCAAAGTTACTACCTAGACTCACTACAGTTTGTTTTTCATTCTTATCTTTTCCAAGACAAAATCCGTTTTCTATTAATGACAAAGAAATACTTTTTTTTTCATCCGGATTCCTTTCCCTAACAATATCTTTCTTATTCCTGATGTTGGAATTACACGTTCTAGCCACTATTTAGAATATATTTCTGTTTTTTTTTTATTAAAGAAATCAATCGGAGAGATATTTTATGATCAGATTTCAGTTGCTATGATTGAATTATGCAAGTCGTTGTGTGTATAAGAGGGTGGGTGTGGATGTTATGAAGGAGAACATTCATACCGCACCCTCGAACGCTTGATATCGAATGTATGTAATTATCAGTTGCTTAAAGCTTCATCTGATAAAATTATATGTTCAATAATAAATATAGTCCTTGGTGTACATTTTTGATTTTCATTAGCTTTACAAATCGATGATAAAATTTTTAAACAGCCATCGAAATCGTGTAACATATGTTTTAGCACATCAGCATGGACTGATGGAACAGTTGATGAATAAAACATATTGCCAGAAACAAAACTCTATTTGTCTTTATGTATTTTACATGACTCGGATTCTTCATCATTTTTATATTTATTAACAATATATAGCAGATCGAAGACAGTTCCATGTTGAATTGATCGATGCCTTTCAAAGAAGTGTTAGCGAATTCTATTGTTCATCCGATGTGCCGTGTGCTAAGGCCAAAAATCGAATAGAATCTTGATTTCGTTAGATGATACATGGTTTGATTGAGCTTTATTCAGTGATTTAGACATTTTTTCAATTAGTTTTGATAGAAAACCCTCAAAATACAAGTTACTAAGAAAAAAAAATACGAAAAATTGACTAATTACGAATAAACTGTAGATTTGAACTGTATGCCATCATTTTATTTTTACTAAACCAATTTATTCGGATTCACCATCGAATAGTGAATATAAATGATTGTATTTAATGTAACTTACATTTAAAAAAAGTCAAAATAATCAGATTTTTTTTCACTCTTTTTTACATGGGTAATGTATATGTCATTTGTTCATCCATTTTAATCATACATATCGAAAATAAGTGATCTTTTCCATATTCGAACACAATCTCCTCTAATTTCCCATGATGATTTGGATTGCTTGTGTTTACAAACTATGAACTTGCTACTGAATCGAAGTCATCCACATATAGTAAAGTTGAAAATTCTATGTAAATTAGTGGTGTAATTACAATAGAAATTGATAATTAAGTGTTTTCAGTAAAATGATATTGAATAAATCTAATAAATAGGTAGAATAGAAATTCTAAACGGAAACATTTGTCAAATAAATGTCATGAAAATTTTTCATATATACCTTATAAGATTATCAAATAGTTTTATTAGTATTCTAATTAGCATGTGTAATTCTCTCTATGAATGACACTGTTAAGATATGCAAAAAAAAAATCTCAGAAATTTTTCTATCGATATATCTTTGTAACTACTTGAATAATTTTCACAAATAAACAGTCATTTTGAAAAGCATTTTAAAATGTATGTATTGTGTAACAATAAAAATTCTAACTGAAGAAGTACGAGAGAGTCAATAAAGGTACTTTGTCACATGCGATTGGAAAAAAAAACAATTCTTTAATATTGAATAATCAGAACAGGAAATAAGTTATATTTGTTTATGTGAACGGGACGACTTGTTATGTGAAGAAGCTAAATAAAGCAGATATCACTATGTTACGAGTACTTCTCTCATCAAGTTCGTCATATAGAATTTACTAATGTTTTATCTTTCCATTTTTATTTTTATATGTATAAAAAATGTTTAATGACATTCTCACATTTATATATCTCTTATTTCTTAAGCTAGAATCTTTATTATTACACAATAAGTATACTTTTAACATGATTATTTATTTGTTAAAATTAGTTAGTTGCATTTATAGGTCTCTTTCTAATCCTCATCACATGTGTATAACTAGACATGTGATTGCAAGTAATGGATGAATGATTTATGTGTTCATGCGTCATACATAAAATACACATAGGTATACAATAGAAACTTGAATATTTCTATTCACTTGTTTTTTCGTTACTGTCAATATTATTCATTACTTATTTGCGGCATACTATAAAATATAGCTTTAGCACAAAGCATTTATTTTTATACGATTAAAACATGTATATCAATCGATTATCCTATGAATTTCTTTTGCTTATCTTAATATTCTATGTTTATAAAATTCAATCTGAAGAAATTCTATATGATACAATTGTTTGTTTTGGTGATTCAAGTTCTGATACTGGAAATGTTTATAATTTAACAAATTCAAAATGGCCTATTGATCCACCTTATTATAAAGGTCGATTTTCCAATGGACCAATTTGGATAGAAAAATTAGGAATATCTAATCTTATTAATTATGCATATGGAAGTGCTACTACTGATAATAACTTAGTACAAGGTTATACAGCATTTAATCTGATGGTACCAGGTATTCGTCAACAAATAACTACATACAAAAATATTACTGATTTCAACAAGATTAATTTTAATCGAATAATTTATATAATATGGGCTGGTGAAAATGATTATTTTTTTAATATAACTTTATCTGCATCAAGTGTTGTTAAAAGTTTAATTAATGGAATAAATGATTTGATTCAAATAGGTGCAAAACATTTTCTTGTTGTAAATCAATCACCTATTCAAGCATATCCAGCTGCTCAAGCTTTAAATATACCTGATTATTTAAAGACGCTTACATTTGATCATAATAATAATCTATCAAATTCAATTCAATTACTTCAATCAAATTATTCAAATATAACATTTAAATTATTTGATGTTTACTCACTCATTTCAAATATTCTTATGAATACTTCGACATATGGAATTAACAGTACAACAAATTGTTGGAGTACATCAAATTATACTGTCGTTCACGAATGTTCAACTCCTGATACTTATCTTTTTATTGATGAATTCCATTTTACTACTCGTATACATCAATTAATTGCTGATAATGCACGTAAATTACTTATAACAACGAATGGAGCTATTAAACTTCATCATTCTATTTTTTATATTTTACTTTT